GTTTTTTTTTTTCTTAATTACTCGTACACAATTATTTATGTTTCTATTATTTTTATTTACATGAACGCAGTTTCCATGAACACCGAAGCAAATTCGTATCCCTGGTCAAAGGATCAAGAGCCCCAGGATATATACCGCGATATAGAACACATTCAAATGATAGATATACAGTATTATTGCCACTTTATGCATACAAGCGATGATGCAGACGATGCCGTTCTGGTAAGTAGGACGTATCACGCGCATGTATAAGTATGTGTACAACGTATACGTTATATTACGAGATGTGTGTTTGCGCGCGCGCGCGCGTGTGTGTGTGTGCGTATGTGTACATATACACACATTATATATACTATACTATATATACAAATATATATAGTGTTTATATATATTACATATATTATTTCGAATAGTAACGTTTCTTCTCCTTATATTTAGAACAACTTGAACAAAAGCATCAATTATATCTCAAAGCCAACAGTAGTGGTGCCACCGTTACACATTCTTGCAGAGAAACAGTCGTGTGGACCTAGTCCGGCGGAAATTATGCAGGTAAATAAAAGTTTACTCTCAAGTGTATGTAGTTCGTCAACAGCACACTCAATTGTAGGCTCTCACTACCAAGATGTGCCACGACATGTTCAATTTGGAACGATTGGAGACTTTGGGCGATTCCTACCTAAAACTCATTACATCGTTATTTTTGTATCACTCCTTCCCAACACTTAATGAAGGTCAATTGACAGCACTAAAGGGCAGAATAATCGGCAATCGCAATCTATATTACAGTGGCGTTAATAAGAGCATACCTGGACGTATGAAGGTCGACGAGTTTACGCCTACAAGTACTTTCATCGTACCTGCGTATGCAGTATTTCGACAATTGCAAAAGATACTATTGGATCAGGACGTATCACCAAATATATTATACGAACTTCCGATACCAGATGAAGAGAGATTAACTGGAGAGATAAGCACAAGTACAATTAATACGATGCAGAATATAATATCGCAGTGGAGTTTGGCGGAAAACCAAACTGGCCTGGAACATTATCTTAATGTTCAAATTATACCCGACAAGGCCGTATCGGACTCGGTAGAAGCGTTGATTGGTGTTTATCTCAGAGTAAGTTGTTGACGTTACTAACGTTAGTAAAATGTCACTGAATATCGCTTTCAACGGAAATGCACTAGTCTCCTAGTTTAATTTTCAAAAGCAAACCTATTAAAGCCTAATTGATACAAAACAAAAGCAAACATATGTGCATGCAAAATTGTGTGAATTGATTTAACAAATCAATTTTCAATATTAGAGTACCGGCATAAGCGGCGCAGCAAAACTGCTCAAGTGGTTCGGCATACTGCCTGACATTGAAATTGACGAGTTATTAAGTGGTACCAGTTCATTAAATCCTATAATCGGCAATGGAAATCCGAACGAACATATGCCATGGGCCGATAATATAGAAAAAAGACTTGGTTATAAATTTAATAACCGGGCATATTTGTTGCAGGTAATCTTAATGTAATAAAAAAAGAAACAATCTAGTTTTATGCTATCGCATGTCTGACTCTACTTGTATAACCTACATATTATACGTTTATATAATCTCCATATGTTTATCTGAAGTTTTACATACAGTATGTGTGCCATTGTTGCAAACGCTTAGTAAAGCACCGTATAGACTAATGACTATTTTCTTTTACATGCTTCAAAACGTTTTCAGCCCCAAACCGATTCTATCCACAGTGTGTTGTATACATTTTAATCACTGTTCTATTATGTTTCAGGCGTTTACTCATCCATCGTACACAGTAAACAGAATAACCGACTGTTATCAAAGACTAGAATTTCTTGGAGACGCTATTTTAGGTAAATGCAAAATTGCTTGTAATATGTATAGCAAAAATATAATATGATAATGCACGATACATTTGATCATAAAAGGCATAAAAAACAATATATTAATAGGATCAATGTATTTAATTGGGTGAATTGCAACGAATGATCATGTTTCGCATTTTCTTCGGTGGTTTCAGATTTTTTGATCACTTGCCATATTTATGAATCTTGCGGCAACTTGAGTCCTGGCGCTCTCACCGACTTGAGGTCTGCGCTTGTCAACAATGTAACATTTGCTTGCTTAGCTGTGCGATATGGTCTACACACCTGCTTACTGGCTTACGCGCCGCAACTGCATGAAATAATCAATCGCTTCGTCAAGTTTCAAGAAGAACGGGATTACGCAATTAATGATGAAGTATGTTTGTGCAATATGATTTTTATAATCAATGCTGCGATTACACAAATGATGATTTATAATGTAAATTTCCTTTTCGCTCCTAGTTATTGTGGGTGCTTCTTGAAGAAGAAGATTGCAACATAGCAGAATATATAGACGTCCCGAAGGTCTTGGGGGATCTGTTTGAAACATTAATCGGAGCCATCTATCTCGATAGCAACAGAAACTTGACAAAAGTCTGGGAGATGGTTTATTCTTTTATGCACAAAGAAATAGGTAAGATTTACGCACAAATAATGGCGATGCGACAGTTTATGTAGTAATGATTTGTAATTTGATGAAGCACGCGTGGAGTAAAAATAACGTTGCCTAAAAGCATTATTCACGATTTAGTGGGTGTGTATCTTATATTGCGTGACTTCTTTATCGAAATATACACATATAATGTGCTTTGTGTTTCATAGATGAATTTAGCAGAAATATACCAAAGAATCCAGTTCGAGTGATATACGAACATCAAGATGCACATGCCAAGTTCCTGTAAGTATAAAATCAATCTTTTTTACCCGTTTGTGTGTGTGTATATTATATTATATAAACATACGTGCGTGCGCTTGTTGATTCGTTCACTTGCTCGTTCACATATGCATACACATGTACGTACATATAATACTTATATAATTGCAGTGAAGCATCAATGATCGAAGGCAGAAATGTTGTCATGATACCTCTAAAAGTAACCATTGCTGGTAAGGAAAAGACTTTTCATGGTTTTGGAGCTAATAAAAAGTTGGCTAAATGTGCGGCTGCGAAACAGGCATTGAAAAGATTGCGCAGTCCGAAATAAGTGTTTGATGTAACTGTTATATACATGCGCGTATGTTTTTATGTCTGTTGATGCTATTTATAGACAATTTAAAAATCTATAGACGTGTGTGTTAAAAAGATTGAGCATCCATTTTTCGATGGACGTTACCATGATTCCGATTGTATTTTGAATGTATGTATGTATTGTCCTGTGCTTGCAGCACTAGGAAAATTGCCACACCGCGTAATTAGTCTGTTAGATAGAGACGCGCAAATGTCTTTCTATCCTTTTCTCTTTTTATATTTTTCCTCAAAAGAGAATTTCACTTTTTTTTTTTTTTAAAGTTTCTAAAGTTCGTTCTTATCTATAAAAAAAATATGGTAAAGGTTTACAATTACACAGTTAGCTCCAAATGATTTCCGACTAACCTTGATATTGACCTTGACCCTCAGAGAGATCAATGCTATTGACCATTATCGGTGCTCATTGTTTATTAAAAAGTTATTAACGAAAAAAGTTTTAAAAGTTAAATGTAATTTGTGCACACAGTGTATATAGAAATATGGTAAAAAGTATACGAATATGCGCAAATATTAAAAAAAAGGTAACACACACTGTTCGCCCGCACACGCGCTCGCTGAGGGCTACGGCTCTCAGAATATACATACAGGGTATAGCAAAAGTACCGGAACGGCAAGATAACTCGGCGGGGGAGCATTTTAGAGAAAAATGTTTCCAATAAAAGTTGTAAGGCTTAAAAAGTCGCATTTAATGACAGTAGTTATTTGACCTAAGATGACGTCGCCAAGGTCAGGACAAGGTCAACTTTGCTTTTTTAAATAGAAATACATATTTTTTATTACGGCATTTTATTCTACGAAAAAGCAAACAACTTTTGCTTGAAAAAAATTTTTATACGACCTCTATTTTCTAAGGTATTTACGTAAATATCTTAGAAAATAGAGATCGTATAAAAAATTTTTTCAAGCAAAAGTTGTTTACTTTTTCACGTAGAATAAAATGCCGTAATAAAAAATATGTATTTCTATTTAAAAAAGCAAAGTTGACCTTGTCCTGACCTTGGCGACGTCATCTTAGGTCAAATAACTACTGTCATTAAATGCGACTTTTTAAGCCTTACAACTTTTATTGGAAACATTTTTCTCTAAAATGCTCCCCCGCCGAGTTATCTTGCCGTTCCGGTACTTTTGCTATACCCTGTATGTATATTCTGAGAGCCGTAGCCCTCAGCGAGCGCGTGTGCGGGCGAACAGTGTGTGTTACCTTTTTTTTAATATTTGCGCATATTCGTATACTTTTTACCATATTTCTATATACACTGTGTGCACAAATTACATTTAACTTTTAAAACTTTTTTCGTTAATAACTTTTTAATAAACAATGAGCACCGATAATGGTCAATAGCATTGATCTCTCTGAGGGTCAAGGTCAATATCAAGGTTAGTCGGAAATCATTTGGAGCTAACTGTGTAATTGTAAACCTTTACCATATTTTTTTTATAGATAAGAACGAACTTTAGAAACTTTAAAAAAAAAAAAAAGTGAAATTCTCTTTTGAGGAAAAATATAAAAAGAGAAAAGGATAGAAAGACATTTGCGCGTCTCTATCTAACAGACTAATTACGCGGTGTGGCAATTTTCCTAGTGCTGCAAGCACAGGACAATACATACATACATTCAAAATACAATCGGAATCATGGTAACGTCCATCGAAAAATGGATGCTCAATCTTTTTAACACACACGTCTATAGATTTTTAAATTGTCTATAAATAGCATCAACAGACATAAAAACATACGCGCATGTATATAACAGTTACATCAAACACTTATTTCGGACTGCGCAATCTTTTCAATGCCTGTTTCGCAGCCGCACATTTAGCCAACTTTTTATTAGCTCCAAAACCATGAAAAGTCTTTTCCTTACCAGCAATGGTTACTTTTAGAGGTATCATGACAACATTTCTGCCTTCGATCATTGATGCTTCACTGCAATTATATAAGTATTATATGTACGTACATGTGTATGCATATGTGAACGAGCAAGTGAACGAATCAACAAGCGCACGCACGTATGTTTATATAATATAATATACACACACACAAACGGGTAAAAAAGATTGATTTTATACTTACAGGAACTTGGCATGTGCATCTTGATGTTCGTATATCACTCGAACTGGATTCTTTGGTATATTTCTGCTAAATTCATCTATGAAACACAAAGCACATTATATGTGTATATTTCGATAAAGAAGTCACGCAATATAAGATACACACCCACTAAATCGTGAATAATGCTTTTAGGCAACGTTATTTTTACTCCACGCGTGCTTCATCAAATTACAAATCATTACTACATAAACTGTCGCATCGCCATTATTTGTGCGTAAATCTTACCTATTTCTTTGTGCATAAAAGAATAAACCATCTCCCAGACTTTTGTCAAGTTTCTGTTGCTATCGAGATAGATGGCTCCGATTAATGTTTCAAACAGATCCCCCAAGACCTTCGGGACGTCTATATATTCTGCTATGTTGCAATCTTCTTCTTCAAGAAGCACCCACAATAACTAGGAGCGAAAAGGAAATTTACATTATAAATCATCATTTGTGTAATCGCAGCATTGATTATAAAAATCATATTGCACAAACATACTTCATCATTAATTGCGTAATCCCGTTCTTCTTGAAACTTGACGAAGCGATTGATTATTTCATGCAGTTGCGGCGCGTAAGCCAGTAAGCAGGTGTGTAGACCATATCGCACAGCTAAGCAAGCAAATGTTACATTGTTGACAAGCGCAGACCTCAAGTCGGTGAGAGCGCCAGGACTCAAGTTGCCGCAAGATTCATAAATATGGCAAGTGATCAAAAAATCTGAAACCACCGAAGAAAATGCGAAACATGATCATTCGTTGCAATTCACCCAATTAAATACATTGATCCTATTAATATATTGTTTTTTATGCCTTTTATGATCAAATGTATCGTGCATTATCATATTATATTTTTGCTATACATATTACAAGCAATTTTGCATTTACCTAAAATAGCGTCTCCAAGAAATTCTAGTCTTTGATAACAGTCGGTTATTCTGTTTACTGTGTACGATGGATGAGTAAACGCCTGAAACATAATAGAACAGTGATTAAAATGTATACAACACACTGTGGATAGAATCGGTTTGGGGCTGAAAACGTTTTGAAGCATGTAAAAGAAAATAGTCATTAGTCTATACGGTGCTTTACTAAGCGTTTGCAACAATGGCACACATACTGTATGTAAAACTTCAGATAAACATATGGAGATTATATAAACGTATAATATGTAGGTTATACAAGTAGAGTCAGACATGCGATAGCATAAAACTAGATTGTTTCTTTTTTTATTACATTAAGATTACCTGCAACAAATATGCCCGGTTATTAAATTTATAACCAAGTCTTTTTTCTATATTATCGGCCCATGGCATATGTTCGTTCGGATTTCCATTGCCGATTATAGGATTTAATGAACTGGTACCACTTAATAACTCGTCAATTTCAATGTCAGGCAGTATGCCGAACCACTTGAGCAGTTTTGCTGCGCCGCTTATGCCGGTACTCTAATATTGAAAATTGATTTGTTAAATCAATTCACACAATTTTGCATGCACATATGTTTGCTTTTGTTTTGTATCAATTAGGCTTTAATAGGTTTGCTTTTGAAAATTAAACTAGGAGACTAGTGCATTTCCGTTGAAAGCGATATTCAGTGACATTTTACTAACGTTAGTAACGTCAACAACTTACTCTGAGATAAACACCAATCAACGCTTCTACCGAGTCCGATACGGCCTTGTCGGGTATAATTTGAACATTAAGATAATGTTCCAGGCCAGTTTGGTTTTCCGCCAAACTCCACTGCGATATTATATTCTGCATCGTATTAATTGTACTTGTGCTTATCTCTCCAGTTAATCTCTCTTCATCTGGTATCGGAAGTTCGTATAATATATTTGGTGATACGTCCTGATCCAATAGTATCTTTTGCAATTGTCGAAATACTGCATACGCAGGTACGATGAAAGTACTTGTAGGCGTAAACTCGTCGACCTTCATACGTCCAGGTATGCTCTTATTAACGCCACTGTAATATAGATTGCGATTGCCGATTATTCTGCCCTTTAGTGCTGTCAATTGACCTTCATTAAGTGTTGGGAAGGAGTGATACAAAAATAACGATGTAATGAGTTTTAGGTAGGAATCGCCCAAAGTCTCCAATCGTTCCAAATTGAACATGTCGTGGCACATCTTGGTAGTGAGAGCCTACAATTGAGTGTGCTGTTGACGAACTACATACACTTGAGAGTAAACTTTTATTTACCTGCATAATTTCCGCCGGACTAGGTCCACACGACTGTTTCTCTGCAAGAATGTGTAACGGTGGCACCACTACTGTTGGCTTTGAGATATAATTGATGCTTTTGTTCAAGTTGTTCTAAATATAAGGAGAAGAAACGTTACTATTCGAAATAATATATGTAATATATATAAACACTATATATATTTGTATATATAGTATAGTATATATAATGTGTGTATATGTACACATACGCACACACACACACGCGCGCGCGCGCGCAAACACACATCTCGTAATATAACGTATACGTTGTACACATACTTATACATGCGCGTGATACGTCCTACTTACCAGAACGGCATCGTCTGCATCATCGCTTGTATGCATAAAGTGGCAATAATACTGTATATCTATCATTTGAATGTGTTCTATATCGCGGTATATATCCTGGGGCTCTTGATCCTTTGACCAGGGATACGAATTTGCTTCGGTGTTCATGGAAACTGCGTTCATGTAAATAAAAATAATAGAAACATAAATAATTGTGTACGAGTAATTAAGAAAAAAAAAAAC